GGACCCGGTGAGCAGGGTAGAGAGCCGCCTTCCCGGAGCACGTGTCAGCACGGCAGCCAGACGTACACAGGCAAAACCCCGAAACGCCCCAAGCGGCGCACCGAGCGCTGCCGGGCACCAGCCTGTGCGATGCCTCCCCGCCTCACCACCACCACCAGGGCCGGCCCACTGTCGTTTGAGGGAAGGGAAACCCGTAAGTCTTTAGAGAGCCTTCAGCAAAGCCGCGCTCTAGCGATGCTTTCCGTTATCAGAAAGTAGCTTCGCTTTACAATATGACTACCATTTATTTAAAAAAAAGAAATCCTTTACAGAGCAGTCTTTAAAAAGTATTTTTGAGAATTATTTTCCCGTGACAATGTAAAGTGCCATTTTTTACTGCATTGGTCAAGCTGTGGTCCTTTGGTTATTTTTTTAAAGGAAAAATACATAAATAATTACTTTTTTTTTTCTACATAACAAACCTTTGTTATGCTAAGACACAGTCATCATCAGTTGAAAAAAAAATCCCTAGAAAAGTCAGCAGCTTTTAACAATTTAAACCATTGATTAAGAAAAAAAAAAGGACAAAACATCTGGACTATCTGCATTAAGATAATGCTCCATAGATTAAACCACAATACCCCCAAAGAACAACGTGGCAAACATTGATTCCGTGTAGTTCTGTTTGTTTTAAAAGAAAAACCCAAGAGTCCAGCCATAGAGTTTCTGGCTTTCTTTTTCTCTCTCTAAATATAGCAGCAAAGTTGGTCTACTGTAACTATTAGTAATTTTGTCCCATCACTGAATACCCCAAGGAAAGAAATATGAGTACATCATGAAAAAAATCAACTGATTTAGAAAAGGATTATCTTAATTCTGAGATCAGTATAAACTCAGAATTACTTCCAAGTCTGGGTCTCAGAGATATAAATGGAAGGCACAAAGTAATATGTCCTATGTCTTATATATGTCCTACTTTTGCTTAGAGAGCTTCATCCATATTTAAACAATCGTACCTCAAAGCTTAAATACAGAATGATGTTCTTGAACGGCACACAACACGAGTGGAGTCTACATTTCTCTTTTGCTCTAGTTTGTACCCTGCGTTTTGATACTGAGGTATAATCGGGATGAATACAATCTTTTCTTATACCAGTGCAATGAAGCAAGATATTTTAAAACAGAAAAGGTCCTTTATCTTAACACCATATGCTCCTTGATTTATCTAAAATCAGCATCCTGCTTTTTCCCATCCTTGGCCTTCTGGTGAAAGGTTACAGAATCTTCATTAGGAAGAGTACTTGCACCAAAGCTGCATGGGGCACGAGCCGCCACTTCCATATACCAAGAACCATAGATGCTTTAGCGTTCTGCAAGTGCTCACAGAATAAGAGCAAACAAATCATGACAACAAAGTCTCGGACATCATAACAGAAATTCATATGCAATACTTCAAGTTTAAAGGATGTTAAGTCATGCTTTTATCTTTTTTTTTTCCCTCTCCCCTAGGAATATGCAAGAATGGAGTCCACTGACATTAAGAGTGCCTAAGATAGGCATGAAAGATCAAGTTACCAGACTGCAGCCTCTGCTGCCCTGGCGAGCTGGAATGTGACCATATTCTAGGCAAGCCCTTTATGCAGAACTCAAAAAATGGGGAAGAGTTCTAGCTGGCTCGGCACATGAAAGTTTCCAAGAGGCTGGGTAAGCTGCTGGTCTAGTATCGGTGTCCTAATGAGGTGCAAACAGCTAATTTGGGTTATTATCCAAGAACGAGGCCACAACTAGCAACAAAAAATGCAGGTAAAAGTCACCCAAATTTAGGTAAACATTCTTGCACATTACTCTCCTCATTTTGGCTACCAAAAAGTTCACTTTTAAAGTAAGAATTTTCTGCTGTACAGTGCAGCCTGTATTATATAATTTAACCAAACCTTTAAGAAAAGGAAGCACTTTTGAAAGTAAATTTTAAAATTGTTTTGCACAGAAATCCATATGTACTTGGCAACACCTTCTGCATAGCAAACCTCCAGCTTTTGTGAGCAGAAATCCTAACTTCGCCTGTGCTTACAGTTTCAGTTGCTGCTGAAGGTCATGAATTGATGCTGCGCTGCTCTGCAGCTTCTCTAGCACTAGTGGATCTTCTTCTAGTTTCATCATTTCAATCACTCCACTGGTTCCCAGAATACAAGGCAGACTTAAAAATACTTCACTGTTTATATTACAACATCCCTGAAACAAAATAGAAAAAGCACTGTCATGTAGAGTTGTCAGTTCTGCTCTGTCCTTAATCTGAAGTACGGAATTACACAAAAAAAACCTCATTAACTTGCATTAAAAAAGGGTATTTCCTCATATGGCCCGTTTTGTTTTAGTATAGCTCAAACTGAAATTGTGTTAGGTCCTGTGCAATGGATTACTGTATAGGAACTGCAACATATTACTGCACAGTTTAAAAAAATATTAAACCATGCCACACTTGGAAGTATTAATATATCAGACCTTGACAATGCAGACAAAACACACTACAAAATACAATTTAACCCATTTCTTAAGCAGAACAAGCAGGAACGCTCTTTTGTTCGGACACAGGAATCATTAGTACTCTTAGTACTGAAGAAAAGAAATTTAAAAATAAAGCAGGCAAAGAGAGCTATCCTGGGAACATTTATCAAGTATCGATCGTATAATCATTATGTGAGAGACTTTAAAAGACTTACAGCACTGTAATCAAGTTCATATTGTACTTTTTTATTATTTATTTTTTAAAGATCTTTATGTGAAATTTTAGGTTCTGCAGGTACTCTGCAGTTTAAAAGACTTGTCACTCCTCTACATCTGCAGTTATTTCATAAGCCATTCAAAACTTTGCTTGAGAACAAGATGATTAAATTAGCTACGTCTGTTTGTATTTGACAAATAGCCTTTTGTGCTCAACTCCCCTGCACTGCATATTGTAAGTCACCTTTCTGACGCTTGTAAATAGAAGTGACTGATGAGAAGTTTCTACATGTTTTTTCTTGACAATGCTTTAAGCAAGCCTCTGAGGATAAAACTTTAAACAATGTCTAGTCTACAATTTTAAGTTAAACATAGCTTAGCTCTTCTCTTCAGAGCAGGAAATCAAGGAATAGTAAAAGCAGCTGTTTCAAAGGCGATCCAATAAAAAACTGGCAGAAAACCCATTTAAAGCTTTCATAAATGATACTGAACTCTTTTGACCCTCTGGAAAAATCCATGTTCAATACTGAGCACTTGAAAACTGACACGCACATTCCTCTTCATTTGCCAATTCCGACTATTCCAGAGGAGCTGGTCAGCAGCCTTGAACAGTGGGGAGCTACTCTGCAACCCTGAATATGTTTTCCCTCTGAACTCTTGTATTCTTTGAAAAACCATCCATTTTAGTAATGATTTCAGATTAACACAACAATTGATTTTTGCATGTTTTTTGACTAGAGCTGAAAGCTGTTGAAGAAAATAATGAAAATAGTGCTACTTCAGAACTGTTGCTTTAAGTTGAAATGTCTATGCTGTTACAATTAATAGTCATATCCAGTAATAATATCGTTAGAGTGTCAACTGAGAGAGATATTAATTACATTTACCTTTGCCAGAATGGATACAGAATGCACCTTTCTTTTATCTTTCAGTATACTGTCAGTCAAATCAGCAACTGAGAGCCCAACAGACCAAGATCTCTGACCTTTTCCCTTTAGAACTTCCAAAGCTCTATATAAACAAGAAAATGGGGAAAAAACATAATGTTTAGGTTTTATTTACTTCAGTTATGCCTTTTTGGTTTATAAGTAAAACCCTAAAGACAGGTAAGTATACCATGTACCCTATAACCATGATTTGCTGTTTTGGACAACAACAGAAGAGAATTGAGAATTGCTTTTGAGAAGTTTATGCTTCTTTGACCTGTAGTAGTAACAGCCCCCTTTTCTGTCACGGGGTGTAACTGGTATGTGGCTAATTTAATCAGATAAATTGATCCCAACTTGTATTTCACTTTGAAGTAAACTGCTTCTGCACAAGCTATGAAAAAGAGAGCTAATGTGTCAGAAGGCTTGTCTACTTTTTTGCAATTATACTAGCTGCTCTAATATGATGGTGTTTATTCTACAAAACTTGTCTTCTGCTTAGATCATCACAGGCACAACATTATTACCAAGAACCTCAGAAGATCAGTGCTATTATTATATACATACGTATAAAAAAGAATGACACTCAGACCCGAAGATATGTTAAACGCTTTAGACTGGGGGAAAAAAAGCCTGCAAACCCAAAGTGTCTAAATACGAATAAAAAGTTTTAAGATTGCAATGGTGTTACCTGTTAGCCACCTTTTCCCTCGAGTTACGAGCAGCCATTGTTTCAATTTGGTTTGCAGCTGAATTACTACTGGTCCATGAAGGCACTAGATAGAAACAACCAACATTTAGATGCACATCTAAGCAGTGACTAAAATGGTTACCAGAGGCAAGGGCGGGGGGAGGAAATCAAAATTCCAAAGTTTATCCTTCCCCCACAGCAACGCAAATTTAGTTGATGAATTTCTAAGCTTCTCTGGACTGCCAAAATAAACTCTATAGTATTTGGCCAGAGACATTAATTTCCAAAAAGAAGTAACGTGTAAAAATTCTTAAGTTAGCAGAAGCCGACCAAATATTTTACCACATTTCCTTCCCTTTTCAGTACCTCTAACCTATGCTGTTATACCAAATGAAAAGCATTTGGGACTGTATTTTCTATAGTCTTTTACATGTCAAGTATTTGTACTGCCACTCCAGCTCTAAAAATCTTATTCTTATTTAAAATTATTATTGTGAAAAATCTACCACCCTGCTTACGACTACCTTCATTGCTCTTCTCATTCATTTATTTACTAAATTAGTTAGGTGTACTGTCATGACATTAAATACTTTTAATCATAATACTTTATCACTTACCTTTGTCTTCCCCTTGTTCACCAACAATCCAAGCATCTTTTCCCAGCACCTGTGCTTTCAAAAGGTTTGTGAGAATATACTGAAATCTCTCAGTATCCAGATTGCCACCTATTCCAACCACTCTGCTTTTGGGAAATGCGCTCAGCTTCCATGACACATACGTCATTATTTCAACTGTATGTGAGAGAGAGAAAAATAGGCTGACAATGAAGTATCCCTCTCCAAATTCAGCACAACAGCAGCAAACTATTAATCACAATAATGAAAAACTCAAAAGCAGGCATACAAGAACCTATCAGTAATTGATTCCAACCTAAAACACCAAGTCAGATGGGGAGGGGGTGAGGAAGATTCACAGCCTGAGTAAAGTTTTAAGAAGAGTCAAGAAGTAAAGCGTTCCTCAAAACATCTAAACAGACTGTTGCTTTAACTGACTTTGAAGGGGAAACTTCAAAACGAGTAACCATCCTTCCCTCTGAGAAAAATCTCACACGCTTCCAAGTTTCATTCAGCCAGAGTTTCATTTCTTTTCACTGGGCAAGCTTTCTTTTCTCCATACCCACAGCTCTAAACGATAGGAAAGCTAAGAAGCACTTGAGAAAAAAAAAAGGGTTAACAATGTTTTAAGTGCGTTTACAGGGCAGGTAAGCTCACATGTACTGCCTTCCCTTTTTAAGTAGGGTTCCCACTTTACCTTAACTCAAAGTTATCACTGACCCAACAGATTTAGACTTTCCATCAGAAAAGGGCCACAATATTTACTAGCAACACTGTATATATTATTCGTCTGGGAGTCTGATCATATGGCATATACACACATGTGCATCTATCCTTACTGCACAGGAGACATACCTAAAACTCACAACTAACAAGACTACAGCTAGTGGCTGCTAATATCGCAAATACAGTGAGATTTAAACTACATACAAAAATATACAAATATACATATATTTTATATCAAACAAAGTATACTATTCTTTTCTTCATTTTGGTAACAATAAGGGAAAAAACCTCAAAGACAGTGTCCTGCTCGAGGCTGAAAAGGAAAATGTCTTTTGGAGTAGCAAGTGTTTACGACTAAGTGGGTGAATTAAGCAATAACGTATTTTTAAAACGGAATAAAGAGAAATTCAGAGATAGACCATCAGGCGAATGTAAGTATCAACATACCTGGATGAGAAGTAACAAGCAGAACACAGTTCTGACTGTAGTGGGATATGGCTGGGATAATTCCTCTGAACAGATCCACATTGCTTTGTATGACTTCAAGGTAAGTCTGAGCGTTACCCAGAGAGTTAACGGTAAGTACCACAACTTTCGAATTAGCTGAAGCAGAAAAGTCTGAAAATGGGGAAAAAAAAAGATTTTTCAGCATTTATGTCATTTTATCAAACTACAGAAAAATCAAGTTTTGGATGCAAAACAAAGAACAACCTTAAACGCTAAACTGCTGCATCCAGCTTAGTTCAGGAATTCTCCTCCTCCTCTCTCAGCCCACTGTCCCCACTGAGGAATTCTGGGCACTTCCACAGCACCTGCCAAACACAGCTCTTCCACAGAACCACTTTCCCCATTTCACAGTCGGCAAATAGAGAAGGGAGAATGCAATTTGCCTAAGGTTACAGGCCAAAGACCGGAAAACGTCATTTTTGACATATAAGCTTGCCAAATTTGATTTCCTCGGCAAGAGAAGAATAAAATAAAAATCACAATAGAATAAAAGAGATCATGGATGTATTTAAAATAAGGCTTTATCTCCCATCCCCCAGCCTGTTTCGCCCAGCTACTTGACGGAACCAGGTTCCGTTACTGCAGCACCAGAGCTCTGTCCTGCAGTCCGGGCAGGCTTTCATTCATTCCTTCCCCTGAGGTTCTGTATTCTTTTTGTTCTTTTAGCTCAATCAAGGACAGGCAGACAACCCTAAAAAGTGCTTCACAAGCCGATTTATTAATTCACCTAAAAGATCCTTAGTTATTAGCCCAAAACAACACACAGTGAAATTTGCTACAGAAATTCATGAGCCAGTGCTGCCTTGAGCTGGTAACTTTGAATAGCTGAGTACCACACAGACGACCGACCAGCTTGGACACAGAAATAACGTAACCACTGTGATTGTCACATCACTTCTAAAACCATCCGCAACCAAAGCGGAGGCCTAGTGCACCTATCAACTGGAAGCACAGTAAGCAGGATATAATTAATATTAGCTTGCCTAAAACCTACACGTTAGCACACTAAAATAACAGATGACATTATTAATAGCCTAGCCAACAACAGTGTATAAGCTTTTTGTAGTACAGCTAAACATAAATATATAAATAATAGGTAACTACAAAGGGACAAATGGAAATTTGCGGCATAGCTGCAAGATCACGGTACCGAAAGATGCACTAGCAGAACAAATCTGCAAGATAAGAATAAAATATGTAAAGCAAGCAGGAGCATTGTCACATGGAAACAGAACAATCCTGCAAAATAAGCAGAAAAGATGCCTGGTGGAACCAGGACACGTCCTTGTCCCCAAAATAAGATAAATTACGCTGAAAGTACATGGAAGCCCCCCTTTTCATCTTGCAGAGGGACCAAGGAACACAAAAACACCAAGGACAAGCGAGGAAAAACGGGGAAGAAAGAAGCTGCCCAATTCAGTTCCAGCTTCCACTGTGGAACGGGGATCAAGCCTCATCACCTCAACCTCCACAACTAAGATCATGGAGGATTGCAGCCATCAGTTCCATCCACTCACAGCTAATTGAGGATAAGATTGTTAAGGACTAATTGTTTGCATATGCAGAGATAATGAGGAAGAACTAACCATGGGCTACGTGGGTGTTTAATGAAGGTCAGTCTAGAAAACTCGTAAGTTTGAAGCTGGCCTTATTTATCAGTCTTTCAAACAGCACTGTCACAGCTCTCTCTAATTCCCTAATATACATATATTTTATTCCGTTGCTTTTTTGCAGCTGCAACACTGAAGTACGAGCTCAGTGTCTCGTTCTCTGTGTTTCTTTGTGTCCAATATTGGCTTCTTACCCTGGAAGTAAGACTCATACACTTCTGTGAACAGAATGAAAAAGTCTTAAAACAGAAACAATGCAAGCTTCATTGAATCCTCCCTTCCCAATTTTGCCCTGGAAAGATGAAGTGAGAAGCTATCAAAAGATAATGGCATCTTTTTAAAAACAGGGCTATATGCCACAGCCTCTAATTCCCTAGCTGTCCTGTCCTCATTAAAATGAGCACAAGCACAGACAGTACAGTACTAGCTTCCATTCCAATGTGATGAAAACTAGTACCTTTGCTGATCTCTACATTTGGCAGAGAAAATATCTCCAAGTCCATGGTTCCTCCTTTTGCTGCACCTTCAGAAACATCCAAAAGAACCACCTTGTCTGCAGCACCCTGTATGAATAAGAATGATGCAGACCAACAATTAAATAAAGCAAAACTTGTTCAGGGTGGGGTGAGGAAGGGGAGAAGATAAGAAAGAAGATATTTTTCCTATTTGAAATGGTGTTCATTGTACTGCATGTAAAAAAAGCAGTACTATCAATACATACAAAAAAGAATAAAGGAGTTGATCAGTTTAATTGGAAAATAAACCATTAAGAAACAAACAAACAATTGCTCGTATAAAATCTTCCCTGGGAAGTTATAAACGTTGATGTGACTGTTGTCTTTGAGTGTGTAACTGTGATAGAGTACAGACCATCTACTGAATATTCTCTTCTAGCAAGCTAGCAGATCCCAATTTTTAACAGGTCACAGCTTTGGCAACAACCCTTTAACTACGGAGTCTCAAAATAAATGAATTCAATATTCAGCCTCACGCATTCAAAAAGCTGACTGAGGAAACTGGACAGAAACTAACACTAGTGACATGACTGTTAAAAACGCTAAGTTAACTTCTGTGTGGAAGACACTAAGAGCTAGCTTGGAAGCCTCTATATTAATCAGGTCTGTCGCTATTCATAATAATTACTTGCCTTTGCTGCGATTGCCAGTACACAGGCCATGCCAAGATCTCCAGCTCCAACCACAGTAATTTTGTTAAAACATTCATCTTTGTCACCACCAATTTTACCCTTTGATTTCATGTCAGTCTCTCCTATAATTAAAAAAAATAAATCACAAACTTAAGCACTGGTCCACACTGTAAAATATCAATATAAGTATTGCTGCTTCATAAAGGATCATGGCCGAGCCAGAGTTAAGCCAAATTGCGTATGCTTCAAAAGAGTAGTCAAGCCTAGCTAGCCGTGGAAAATTCATTGTAACTCCCACCATGTAAAACAAATATTCCTCTCTGGGTAGGAACGTTTTCTCACTAGGCGGAAAGTACGAGCACAGTATGTTAAGGAGCTAGACACTAAGACCATACAAACATACAAACAGTACTCCCTTTGCTACTGTTACAGGTATGAATATATACTATGAACAGAAAATTCATAAAAGACTTCAAATTTTGAAAAGATGTGCAAAATGGAACGTGATTAAAGCAAGATGATCTGAAGTTGTCTATCCAATGCTGCCTGCCGGTAACAAGGATTCGTATTCTGAGTATAACGCATAAAGATTTGCAACAGAAACATTAAGATTGGTATGAATGAACTACAAACAGAAGTGAGTATCGTGTACGTGCACGCACAGGCATGTGCTCTCACACACACACACACGTATGCAATTAACAGAAGAAACAGCTGAACAAGAGTTAAAGAGCAAGGTCTGTGCTAATTGCTACAGACCAGTATATGCAATCTCATTAAGAGAAAGAGGAAGAAAACGGCAACTTGAAGAAAACATGTCAAGATCATGAAGAATAGGACCGGGACCATAAAATAACTCAGGTAAGGAGAAAAAGAGAACAATGAACTTCAGGATTTTTGCCCGAAACTTACAGTGGGTGAGGAAATATAATAAGGCAAAAGATGCCAAATAACATCCACTCCTGAAGAGTGCAAAACACAAGTCCAAAATCAGTTTGTCACCACTGAACTAGAAGAACCTAAGAGATGTGATGTGGACTCAATAGCCAACGTCCCTTGTCCTCAGTGTTGTGCATGAGTGATTGCGGCCAGACAGATTTTGGGACTTGTGACTGCAGATGTGAGACTGTGAATGAATGAGATCGATGAGAGAATGATTATGAATGGGTAAAATCAACTTGTTTATTAAAGTCACCTTTCCCTTCTACAAACAAGCAACACTAAGTCTACAGCATTTTTCAGCGGGCTTAAATGCAGATATCGAAAATGAACTGTTTATTTGAATAAAGAGAATCTGAGCTCTCTATTCAAGAAGAGGCACTTTTAAGATAAAGAAAAAATACCAAACACCATGGACATGCAAACACGAAAAATCCAGGTATGAAAATTACGTAGGCATCTTTGTGATATAAAGTAATAACAAATAAATACTGTCCAAGAACACTACAAATAAACATATGAACAAATCTATACCTTCTGTAATCTTCGCAATGTAAGAGAGGAGCTCGGATTGCCTGGCTGCATCAGAAGATGACAGTGAATACAAAGGGAGCTCTTCCTCAAATTTTGCAATCATCTCCTTGATTAATCCAATGACAGTTGATTTAGGCTGGAATATAGCAACACACAATAGAAAACAGTTGACTAGCTATTCATTACAGCTCTATCAGCTGTAAACTGCAGTAGCTTATAAAGAACCACAAAGCAGAACTGTACAAAATCTAATCAAATTATAGAGACCTTTAACACCTACAGAAGCATTTAAACTTACTTTTTGAAGAGATACTTTTCAAACAGGAGCATGGGACAACAAGGATTTAAATTGTCAGTTCAATTAGATTTTGAAAGCATCAGTGAACATATGGAAGCCTCCGATATAGTAGCATCCAATATTATCAACAGGACAAATTGCAGCTAAAGGAAAGATAGCTTCAATCTTATCAGATGAGCTTATCTGTCCAGATTTTTTGGAGATTCAGCCCTTTGGGCAAAACACACATTGAAACCAGTAGAAATTTTAGCACTAGAAGCAATTCCCATAGGAATTTATACACTAATAATGACAAATACATCCCATCCATTTCAGAAAACTAGCTTTCATTAAATCATTTTTACTGGCCCGACGGTCATATTTAAGTAATTCATTTAATACAATGCGTAAAACATTCAGCAACAGCATCAGCTTCTGAACCTATGTCCTGATCATTCACAGAGTTCTACCAAAAGGATAGAAACTTTCATTGAACTTTCCAGGGATACTCCATTTGTCTAGTATTATTATTCATTCACAGCAACAAAGGAAAAAATATCAAAGGGACCACATGAGGCTTATACCGCTTGGCAACAAAATCAACCCCCTTTTTTCTTCAGATCAAAATAACTTTCCTTACAATCGCTGCAGACTGGCTGAAGGCTGTAATTTCAAGAGACATCACCTGCTGCTTCTCTTTGTGTAATCATTATATATTTAATATTAACAAGCAATGCAGAAGAGAAAAAAACCACAAACTCTATCCACCCCATCCATTGATTTGCATGGGATATCACGCATTATTCCCAGATATTTCCCTCCCCTGTCACCTACTCCATTTCTTACATGGCTCCAGCTTTGCAGGTAGGGCAAATAAATCCTGCCACGAGCATCAACGTGTTTTCCCACTGAAATTCCCATGTTCGCTGTTGGCTTCAAGAAGCAAATAGGAGGAGCAAAAGGATGAGAATCCATAATCCATAGACAAATAGGTATGTTATATGAATTACCTGTTGAACACAAAACAAAACCATTAGTAACCTCTGTATTAGGCAGAGACACCGCAGAACAGGTGTGCAGGCATGCAATTCATAGTTCATAGTAACAAAGAACAAAAGCCAAACAAGTGAACAAATCACTTTAGATCTAGATTCACACTGAACAGTATCTCTGTTACTTCTGCTAATTAATAAAAACAGACTGGGTTGGATGAAATTTAAGTGCTACTGATTGAATCCTGCTTAGGTGCAGGGCTTAAACACAGTTTTCATGCATCCTCCATTAGAAGCAAAGAGTTTGCACGCAAACTAACTACATGAGCTTTTAAATAGCTAATGGACTTATCTAATAATACCTTATTTCAATAGCAACGTGTGCACGAAGAGGCTTGCTTACGGAGCAGAAGCAGCTTCTGCCAATTCCTGCAAAATCCTTTATGGCCATCTTTAAAGAAGCTACAGTTCAAAGACCAGCATAGGCGACGCTCCGAAAGCCCAAGAGGAACTGTATGCAGACTTGTATTCATTAATTTTCATATGTTTGAATTTGCCATTCCACTTTCATTACGACTTATCTAGGATCAAGCTTAATCCCTTTGGTTGCTGGAAGTGAGAAACAGCACTCTTTCTTACTTTTTCCCCACCTCGGTCGCCCATCTGGCTACCACAGCAGAGAAGACATCTCTACTACTTCAGCCACATTTTCCCAAGATTTTCTGTGACCAATCAGCATAATATGTTGTTAGGAGGCAGTATCTGAAACAGTTTGGCTTTGTAACTAGCAAGGAAATTACATTCAATTAATCTTACCGTATTTCACTGGAACAGTGCCACTAAAATTCAGGAGGTCTTTCTGGGACCCATCTTTGAAGGCTGAAATTAGAAATGTGGGATTTTAAAAATCATTTTGAATTTTATTTAGCAACCCCACCCACAACAACCAATATGCACTGCGTATTTTTCTTTACATATCAAATACACTGCACCTGAAACGCCCAAGTCCAGAACGTTATTAAGTTTTTTCCCCCCTCCTTTGAGGCACGGGGAATTTCACTGAAAGTCAAAATAAAGATGGGAACACAACTGAAAGATAATTACACTATTTAGCCTCTATCATACACAAACTGAATTTATGGCAAATAAGAGTCCGAAGAAGTAGTTTAAAGTAACCAAATCACTTCTTACTGTATGTGTTCATGGAGAATACGAAGTTTGGGTAGGTCTTGTTAACATTCTTCAGTTCTTCTATGGTCAGGTCCCTGAATTTATACTGGGAAAGTGGGGGGGGGGGTGGAAAATTAGAAAAATCATTTCACTTCAAAAAGCAGTCTTTTTCATTATACGATATAGGGAGAACGAAACAAGAGCAGGTAGAAATACAAGAAAGGGCAGCTAACAATTACTTGTAGTATTATAAATAGCTTTGGCATGAAATTAATTCTCAGAGATCTTTCCATACTACAAATTATCTTCATTCTATGCAATCTAACATATCACTTGCCTTATCAAAATAGCTTTAGAAGTACCACAGTCTTGCTGTTTCTACATGAGAACTTAGAATTCTGACATCACTCCTTATATACCGTATGTCCCCCTTAAAGTCATTGTGAGTGGAGTCTTAGAACAATTTAACTTAATCTGTACACAATATTTACAAACAATATTTGAATACAAATCCTGGGAAAAGAGAAGTCATATTATTGACACAGTTAAAACCAAAACTCAGATCCACCTGCACGCATTTTAAGAGAGTTTCGTGAGAGGTTCATTCGTGCAAGTGTATTAAACGTGTGAGAAATTAACCTTGGGGGAGGGAAAATCTTCCATGCTTGAACTGTCCTTGATAGCTGAGAAATTTCATACAGAATAATGCTTCCCCTCACCCCCCCCCCAAAAAATCCCACCCTCAGCTTGAAAAAAAACCCTCTGAAATTTGAAATGTGATCTGAACGTAATCATCAGCAAGAACAAATTACTGCTACTTCACTTCGGTCATCCCCAGCCAACCTGACCCTGAACTTCCATGAGCTCTGCAACCCTCCCAGACCACAGAGTTGTGAAAAAACAGTCTATATTTCCCAGATTAGGGCATCCGCTTTGCGTTTCAGGGGGCCTGGAGTTGTTCTGGAGCCCCAGCCTCAGCAAACACAGCCCCAGCCCTGCGCTGCCTTACAGACCTGCTCGCGGCAGGGGAACACCTTGTCCCAAAGGAACAGTTAAAATCCACCACCTCTTCGGTAAGACTCATCAACCAGAAATAGCAGCGCGTCTACAGCTAAAACCCCTTTTTCCCCCCAACTAACCCCTGTCTTGTTCAGACGGCAAAATAAACGAGGCGTTCCTGCTCAGCACGTTGCTCTTTCCTGAAGACCAGGAAAGCTTTGTCAGGCGAGTCGGACACAGGCCTTCCCTATTTTCACCTAAAATTAGCTGGCGTGCCAGACACGTCAAGCTTGCGTACCTCAGCTTCACTTGCGCCCCTTGAACACGTTTTCGCCTCAACAGGAACGCCACCAGATGCGCATCTAACTTTATAAAGCACCAAGATACTCACGCGGGGATTATCACAGAAAAGCCCCCAAGGAAATTAGGAACTCTCTACCCAAAAGTAAGGTTTTAACGGCATGCAGCACATCATACATGCCGCTGGGCCCCGAACCATAAAACTACGTATGCTGCGTACTTGAAAACTCAGCTCCCCAAACAACGCAAAAACCACCCTCGCGTCCGCCCTTCCCACGCCGGCACTCGCTTTAATTCATTTTTATTTGAATTGCACGAGCTGCCACCCAGCGGCTCCCTTCCTGTTAGCCACCCCGTTCCCAGCCTCCAAATACATATAAACGTATAAAGGTGTGCGCGCGTGTGTCACGACTCTCCTCAGCGAAGCGCCCGCTCCC